TGCAGCAGGAGGGGTACCGCGGGGACGGGCACCTTGGATGCGGGGAGGTGGAGAGGTGTAGAAGTTCTCTCTCTGCCCCTCCTCCTGCAGGTGTGCTTCATCGGCCGAAGCAACGTGGGGAAATCATCTTTAATCCGGGCCTTATTCTCACTGTCTCCAGAAGTGGAGGTCAGAGTGTCCAAAACTCCGGTATGTGACATTTCTCACTTCCCTCCCTTCGGCTCAGTAGCTGGTGCCAACCCAGAGAGTGGGGCTGAGAAAGGCAGGAGGAAACCAGCTTTTGGGCAACGGGGAGGGGCAGGAGAAGGCGCCAGCCATGGTGGCTGCCAGCTGATGGGTGGCACGGGCCTTGCTCGAGCAAAGGAAAAGGTGGAAGGAGCCCAGCTTTGCTCTGCAGCCAGGGCTGGCACGCGTGCTGGGCAGAAGAGTCGTGCAAGCTGAGCAGACGTGCCGTAAAGCCCTTGGGGAAGAGCCAAGCACAGAGACCTGCAAAGGTATTTTTGGTCTGTGCTCAGGGTAGAGCCACAGGGGATTGCTGTGCAAGTGGGAGGCCCAGCCGCTGAAAGAAACTGCAGCGTTTTTGCAGCCTTCCCTGGGGGGGCAGGGTATGGCACAGAGATGTTTTGTGGGGCATCTCCTAGTCTGCTGCTTAAATCAATTTTTTAAAACCACCCCCTTTGTCTTGCCGAAATCCTCTGCCCAGGGCCACACCAAGAAGATGAATTTCTTCAAAGTAGGGAAGTACTTCACGCTGGTGGATATGCCAGGATACGGCTACCGTGCCCCGCAAGACTTCGTGGAGATGGTGGAGGCCTATCTGCAGGAACGGCACAAGTAAGGGACTTAACTGTACCTCCACGGAGCGATGGAAGCCAGGCACCTATATGCCATGTCATGTAACCAGCTGAAAAAAATGCAGGAGGGATAGGTACTTCCGGTGGTAGTATTGGTTACTTCTGATGTCATTTCCCTGGGAACCTCTGTGGCGTCGCTCGTTCATGCTTAGATCAAAACAGCAGAAAAGATTGAGGTGCTGCCCTGTGCTGACCCTCAGCTCCCATGCGTGGCTTTTCTTGGCTCTTTCTGTCCCCCAGATCCCGCGTTACTTGTTCTTGCTTATGAACTTGGAAGTAGCAGAGCAGGCATGAAGTAATGGTGGTGATGACCGTTGCTTGTATTTCTGGCAGCCTGAAGAGGACTTTTCTATTAGTTGATGGCGTCGTAGGACTCCAGAAAACAGATCATACTGCAGTAGAGATGCTGGAAGAGTTCGGGATTCCATACGTGGTAGGTAATGCTTTGGTTTTGTGTTGGTTATGAGCTACAGATAATCTATAATGGTGTATACCCTCTACCTGAGCTTATGCAAGTTGCCTGACCTAAGTAATAACACACACACACCCCTTTATTGTTAATAAATAGGCCTAAAATGCATTGAGGGGGCAAGTGGGATTTAAGGGATTTTTTGCAATTTATTAAATGGACACTCTTCAGTGCTCAGCTCGAGGAGCCTGAAAAGGTCTTCTCCTTATGCAGGCTATAGAAGTGTTTTGGCGGACTGTGTTAGACCATTTCCCCCCTAGATATGACCCAGAGCTTTCAGCTTGCCTTGCAGTATGGTCCAGGACTCTTACAGATGTTCCAGGCTAGCAGCAAAATAATCTTCTTTTCCTCTTTTAATCATCCTTTTCTGGATCCACGCAGATGGTGTTAACAAAAATTGACCGAGCTTCCAGGGGACTGTTGTTAAAGAACGTACTGGAGATCCAGGAGTTTGTAAAGGAGAAAACTCAGGGATGCTTTCCTCAGCTGTTCCTGGTCAGGTAAAGCTCTTCTCCATTGCTGCCGTTGCCTTTCAGGTGATGATTTGCAGTAGGGCAAACTACCTGAAATGGGTCTGTCTGTTCTCCAGGCGGCATTTCTCTGTGCCTAGGGATGGAGGGTGGGCTGTGATGGGGAAACGCCCCTTTCCTTCTTCCCCCTCCTTCGCTGTTGCGTGGAGCTGAGTTCTCAAGGCTGCTTTTCCTTTGGCCGTTCTCGGAGGGGGGCAGCAGTCCCCATGCTGCCTGCTCGTGGGCTTTGCCTTTTTGTTTGGAGTTAAGAGCAGCGCACTGTAATTGTTGGATCACAGAGCTGAAGTGCCCAGTTTACGAAGGTTGTGCTGCACTGTGCAAGATGTGACTTAATACTGCCAGCCGCCGAGTTTGCTTGTGTTACTCCAAGACACAGCAGCATCTGGCACTGAACATCCACGCCTTTGTTTCCACAGTTCTCTGGAGTTTTCGGGGGTTCACTTGCTCAGGTGCTTTGTAGCCCATGTGACTGGAAACCTGCCTACTGTAGAGGCCAGCTGAAGAGACTGGCTCCTGGTCTGCTCGGCTCAGCCAGAACAAAAGGTACCAAAACGAAAGGTCTGGATTTTTGTTGTAAATAACCTGAGGTACTGGAATTTATTTTTGGATAAACTTGTATAAATTTTGTAAATAAATGATGTAAGGCTAAGCTTTTAGTTTTAATAAATTCATCGATTCGGGAAGTTTGCACTATGAATGAACCCAGGTTATTACCAAACTGATTTATAAAACCTACACGATTGTGCTAAGGAGAAAAAAAGCAAAGAGAACCTCCAAAGAGAAGCTCAGTTTTAATACAGCATTTCCTCTCCCTCCAGCTAAATGTTCAAAAAGCTACCACTGTGTGCCTAAGGTCCGCTGTATTTAGGACACTAGAAATAGTCTGGTAATCTCATTAGTAAAAAGGCATTTCTTTCAGAAAAGAAAAACCGTAGCCCTAACATAAAGCAAACCGTACTTGCCCAGTTGAATTGAATGATACTTCCCTCAGCTTATCTAGCAGGGGCAATAACGGGCACCTGTGCCCCCTGCCTGCTCTAAGGCAATCTGGAGTGGAAATAGCCAACACCTCGCCTGCAAAGGTGTGTTTAGGACTTCTTGTATATTTTACTTTTGTAACTCCTCTGCATCGTGCGTTCAATAGGTGCGGCGTGATAGCGTGCCTCGCTTGCGTACAGCGAGCTGTGCCTCTTCCGGGTGGATGAAGGAAAGGACGTATCTATAATGGAATCTGCTTTTTGATCACTGTTGGCTTGAAACAGAGTGGAATAAATGACTGACACCTAGGGGAACTCTCTCCTTCTGTACTTTATCATCCGTCAGTGCCGCCTCTGCCTTCTGTTTTAAATCCGGCATGAAGTTCTGCAGCTGCCCTCAGAGGAGTTGCCAGAGATGAGACGCTTTGTCCATTATCTGCATCTGTGCCGCCCCGGCAGCTGAAGCACAAAACTGATGTCCCATGCTCTTTCGGGACACTCTAACAGCTGGCACAAGTATGTCCCACAGCAGCCAAGAGCACCTGAAGTTGGCTCATTACAAGGCACAGAACTGGAGAAAAAAAAAAAAAAGGACTGATGTCAACAGCAGTAGTTGTTACAAGAGAATTTAGACCAAAGCTATTAAGTGCCTGTGTCAAACTCTGGCACTCAGTCTTGTGTCTTAACATTGTCAAATGTGTGTATGCAGTTGTCAAAATTACTTGCATTAAGTGTTTAAACCTCAAGGGCAGGTCTTCTGTGAACCACTCTGAGGTACTTCAAGTGTTTTTTTTCAGATGGAATTTCTTGTAACTCTCAGACGAGACATGAGGTCTGTTTTCAGCACACGTGTAAGAAGTTGGGGGTGTGGGGAACACAGGAGAAAGATGTGGATCTCTTCATTTCCACATCTTAGCAGAGATCAAACCTATTCTCTAGGTTTGTAATTTTCTAATATTTTCTCTTTAATCCTGAAGTGCTCCAGAGTGAACCAGCCTATAGGATGCTTGATCCCAGGGGGAGGTACCGTACTGTCTAGACAGATGGAACGGGTGCAAGTGAACACTTCAGGAATAATCTTTCCTTAGTATCTTAAAGCCAGGATCTTCCAAAAGTATCGATCTTGCCAAGGCTGTCATTTTCAAGGCCTCATCCTTGACTGAAGAGCCTTTGAAAATCAGCCTGTATACGTAAAAGAAAGTGCAGTTCTGTTTTAGTCCATCTTCAGAACAAAACACCTTACAGTGCTAGGAAGTCTTTTATTAACCACTTACATACATTAAGTATGTCTGGTAAATCCATTTATATAAAAGGTGCTTTGAAATGGCAGCAGACTGTGAATTGGACCCCAGGATCCTTGTGGGTGTGTATGGTTGCCACGAGGTGTCCTTAGGGGAAGCCATGTGGAGCTGGGTCACACAGCTACCTACACAGTAGGTATGGTCTTATCCTGAAGAAGCAGCTTTACCTCTGGACACGTATGGGTTTTCTGCTGTATTTGTCAAAAGATCTTCATTCACAAATGCTTCAAATACTGGAATAACTCTTGCATTCTCCTCAGCCATCTGCTGGAGGGAACACCGTGGTTTTGTTACATGGAAGAATCGGTGCCCCTGTCACAAGTAGAGTGAATAAAATAAAATCTAGTCCTCTCCTTCAATCAAACATTAAAACTTACACTCACATGCCTTCATGGGAATGTGCTTTGGGTGAAGAAGCACCTGATGCGCTAGCGGACTTTCTTGCCGAGTTCTCAAGGAACGCGCTGCGTTGCTGAGCGAGGAAGTGCACTTTCTCAGGCCAACACAACAAGGGCACTCCCTTTCTTTTTCCCCAGTCACTGATCAGTGGTGGGCCTGGCAGCTTACTGAAGTAGTAGAGATCATTTCAGTGGTAAATGCTTTTGACATCTTAAACTGTTTGCAACGATATGCCACACTGCAGGCACCCAGCGTTACCTTGTAAAGCTTTGCCTCGTCTGCATCCATCATTTGCAGAAGTGGTGCTGAGTACCGGCATCTATGGAAAAGGATTTTACTTGGTGCATCTCTCCTGTCCTTCAGCAGTACGTTCTCCTTTTTCTTCCTCTACTGTGTCTGGTCTTGTCTGTCACCATAACCCTGGCACTACCGAGCCAGTATTTTGACATATTCTTGCAATGGTCCGCTGGAGTTACTATAGTGTAGAATGCATTTTAGTAGGGACCTTGACCGGATACTACATCAGTAATTCTATTAATATTAATGAAGTAACCTAAGCAGGTTTCTTGGGTTATTTTAAAAAGCAGAGGGGGGGCAGGTAGTAGGTAGACATTTCAGATTGAGAGGCAGCATGCACTAAGGCAAAAAGAGCTCTGGTTTACTGTCACTTTGAAGGTTGTTTCATTGTTGCCACCTTTCACTCTTTAAAGTCTTGCTCCTTGGGCTCAGCATTTTCAGACTCAGCTCAGAACTAGGAGGTATTGCAGTAGGAGCTCTCTGGTACCATATGAAACAGGTTTTGGATGCCAGACAGAACACGCCAAATGCTGAATACAGACAATCCCTTCTGCATTAAGCAGGGTGGCAGCCCACGAGAAGCAAGATCCTGCTACCTCAACTATCAAGAGTTTCTGTCAAGAGGGGAAACAGAAATTCTAGCAGCAGCTAATGATTCCAGTCCGTACCATTGGCTAATCCTACTCAGGCTTGAGGTTACTTTTAGTACCTGCTTATCCCAGCTATAACATGATACAGTATTTTATTGAGAAATTGTAGTTGTTTCTGTGCAAACAGGGACAAACCCAGGGAGTGTAGAGCTTCTTACATCACTCTCCTGCTTAAGTGCTTTGGAAACAGAGTAAGGCCAGAACCCATTTACAGAAGAGGCAGAGGAGGGAGGAATAAATTGTGTTTTTTTCCCATGCCACAAACAGGACACAAGAGGAAAGGTACAGAACTAAGAGAAGACAAACTGATCTTACATTGCATCCCAAAATAAAGATGGTAAGTTAATAAATTGAGAGGCTGTTGCAGGTGAATTATTAAGAGAAGTCATCCTTGTGGGATTAACCAAAAGGTTTTATTAAACAATGATTAAATGATGATTAAACAATGATAGACAGTGGTCAAACACTCTACTACTTCCTACACTTCTAATAATTAAGCTAGCTTGTATACAATATGCTTTAGGTCTAATATAAAATGTTTACCTTGCTGTAGATACCAGATGCAGGGGAAGGGATCTCCCAGCCTCAAGGGGCGTCAAGGGGAGGTCCCCACCGTGTAGCCTGCAGCTGTGCAAGAGAGCTCAATGGGCTGTGGTGGCTGCAGATACTTAGAGCATAAAGTGATTGACTTGTAGTCAAACTCCCTTTGACGTACATGCAACTGTGCAACCCCAGCAGCTGCAGTCTCATCTGGTCCCAGCTCAGGCTGGTAGTTAGCTCCTGATAAGACCCAACCTAAATTCCTGAGAAGACAGGGCCTAGCACAACTTCTCAAGGTTTGTACAACAGGACTGAGTTCACTCGGGCCTACTTGTCAGTGGTGCCTGAACCAAAGTACTGTTAATTCAGTCAGAGTGGGTGCACCCATCATTGAGGCGTGACTTACCTCTGCAGCCCTCTATGTAAGAAGCCACCCTCTCCACATATGCTATAGCCAGTCCTGTAACTTCCTTTTGTTCTCATCTGATGTATTCGCAGCCAGTTTGTACCTAAAATCACTGCAAATAAAAAGTAAAGTAAGCATCCCTTCCTTACCCACACAAGTGATTTTAATACTGGGTTTGGTAACTGCAATTTGATCTGCTCCTAAGAACTACCCACAGCAGTAAGCATCTATGCACAGATTTATTTTAACACTAATTTAACACTGTCCAAGCATTTGTTAAATACTTGATCTCCAACTACTTCAGCTATAACTGCTCTATAAGCATCTCTTACATAAGCACGGAGCACTGTTTTCCTCGATAACATAATTATTGAGCAGCTATCAATTGTTTAGCTAAATAAAGAGAAGATTCTTTCAGGGAAGGTAGTTCACTTGCTTTGTATTCTAATAATCTACAATGGTGTTTGTGCAGTTTGTGGTACGTTTACAAAGTTAATACAAGACAATAAATCTACCACTTGCACAGACATAGCTACTTAAACCAGTATTCTCTCTGAAAAACATTCAGAATGGTGGAAAACATATTATGCCAATAAGTAGTAAAGGGCAGGGGTGGGGGGGATAAATCTTAGCACTGTTCTTGCTAATGCTGTTCCCCAAGAAGTTACTCTCTGCTGTTTCTTGTGTCATGAATGCAGCGCTGCTGGACCATTGCCCTCACCCCTGGTGCAAGCACAGAATGTGGTGTCACAGGATGGCACCAGCCCTGCTCCCCCAGGGAAGGCTGTTCAGACTCAAGACACCGAAAGGCACTATACTCGCTTCTTTTGAATTCAATCCTTGGATCCTTCAGTGCTTCATCAAGCCCCTCTCTGGCTCTACTCTCCAGTATGTTCTTGTTTCTCCAAGTCTCTGCACCTTTTCTTTCTTCCTCTTCAGCTTCTTAGAGAAGAACCTTCATTGAAACTTAGCAAGGCATTTATTACAATAGAAGAGTAAGCCTCCTACTGGAGACATAGTGGATTGTTCTTTATAAGGAAAAATTTCTTTATGATAAATTTTTTTCTTAAGGTAAAACCTGATGAAGACACAAGAAACTTGTATTTCTCAAGCATCAGCAAAACCAGCTTAACGTTTCACAGCAATTTATGAAGGACCTAAGCTGTTGTACAATTCAGAAGTATTATTCAACAGGGCAAAACAAATGCACTCAGGCCAAGGCCCATGTAGATTCAGTAGGACTTCAGAACCACAGCTGCCTTTGTGCTCAAAGGCAATAAAAACCATTGCACTGCTATTTAGAGATTCTTTTTCTTAAAAAAAACCACCCAGAAGGCGTGGGAAATATAGTACTCAGCCCCCAATTACAAGAGATATTTCAGAAATTCTAGAACTTGATGGTGGAAAAAATAAAATAAGGAACAATACCAGCAAACCTCAGGAAAGAGGTGGCAGGTTGGTCTGTAAGCAAGCCAAGCACGGCTACAGTTTGCGCACTGTCAGAAGGCACTGCTGACAGCTTTGGCCCATAGCAGCCAGGGTTCCAGTGGCCAGAGTATTTACAACATCTGGGATAAAGGAATAGTTTTGGACAATTTTTAAAGACCATTCTAATAGAAAAATAAATCTTCCCTCCTTAGTGGCTCCCCAGTGTGACTCCCAAGGCACACTTAAGAGACATTTGTTCAAACTTAGTACTCTGAAGGAGTACTTCTAAGAAATTCACTGAAAATATTAAGAGCACAATAAGCAACTTAAAAATAATGCAACAAAACATGCTTTTACAGTATGAAACATTTCACTGTTAAAAGTTTCTTTAAGAAATGTTTTAAGACATTATGAAACACTAACAGGTGTCCAAGCTGATGAGAATAAATCTTGTCCAAGCCTTAGACACTAAATTACAAAGAAACGCAGATCTCCTTGCAACTGAAGCACAAATACAAGTTAAATGGCAGGGGGCATAGGCCCTTCTTGTAGCACCTAGCTGAAAAGCGCATCACTTGAACAGCTGATCTGTGTCCATTTCTTTTGTGTCCCCTCTTCTGACATTTTTAACCTAGTTTAGGGTAGCAGCAAGAAACGTATCTCACAAAAAAAAGAAAAAAAAATTGTTTATTTCAATGTTGACAGAAGTCAAGTGTTATTGCATAGAAAGGAAAAGAGGGTTTATGAGTCACATTGTACTTGGTCTTTGGCTTAGGGGAAGTCATTCTGAGCCATGATTGGCCCCCTCAGTGAGGGACTGCTGCAGTGAGGACATCTAGATACCAGTGCAGACTCCTGCGCTGAACGCTCAGTTATGGTGGGAAGCGAGCAGCAGACACAGAGGAAGTTGCCACAACACACTTGAATTGATTTAAGTCCTGCTTTTGATGGAAGAGTGTACTCCATTCTCTGAATTAAATGCGGTTTCAAAGTTGAAGCCGTCGGAATCCGCCATGCTTGTGGGGATTGCCTTCAGTTTCCAAGTTGTTTGGTCAATTGTGCTTCAGTCTGTGAAGTACTGAGAGTTCGGAAAAGGCGAGACTTAACTAAGGCTACACATCCGTTCCTGTTTCCTTAATTCCAGAGTTCATGAAGAATGTATTTTCTTTTTGGATTTCCACCCTCACTGTCAAGAACAGCAGGAGCATCTAATTCCATCTCTTTACAACTGCCAACAGTTTCACTCACCAGCTCTTTGCCCTTAGCACACTCCAGCTCTCAGAGCTATCAGTTCCTTCACTGAAAAAAAGACTAAGTCCATTCCCCTTCCAGTATGTTATTTATAATTAAAAGCATAATCTCAAGTTTATTGAGCTAAATAATTTCCCACATTAAAAGCAAATCCTCTTCATTCAGAGTGCTCAAATTCAAACCACCTACCAAGCACGGATGCATGTTTACATGGATGCATATAAAGCAGGAAGGAAGAACTTACCCAAAATCGTGCTAAAAGCAGAGACAAGAATAAAGCCCAGTCTTTTGCCTCAGCTAAGGCCAAACTGGTTCCAGATGCAAGCAGTGAAACAAGCTATTGTCTTTTCCCTTTCTACCTATACTTAGCCTATATATACATATAGCCTACATATACTTCTACCTGTACTAAAACCTTAGTATGTTGTAAGAGCGTGTACCAATGCCATCAGGAAAGGAGGAAAGGAAACAAACCCCACAAGTTTATTTTTACTTTTTTTTTTTAATGGTCTAAGACTAGTAAAGTCCTAAGTATTTCAAATTCACACAGATTACCAGGACATTTTACTTCCACAAAGCCTTTTCCTGACAGGGCAAGTAACTCTGTGCTGTAACTGTATTGGTATCTTACCTTGTATTGTTAAGTTTCCTCTTCAGTTTCTCCTGACCAGACATGGCCATCAGCAAATTTTATGTGTTCTTTCCTAAGTCACGGGTGATCTGAAAGGGAAATTCCAGAGTTCATTTGAGATCCTTTTTCCAAAAAACCCTGTCATGAAGCAACCTGGAATCTTTCAACTTCTTAATACCAACCAGGAAAAACAAACCAAAAAACCTTACTGACTTCTGTGTGACACCCTAGCGCTATTTTTCCTAAAATGAGTCAGAAATTGAAATTAGTTTTGAGCTTTGATAGAGCACATCTGCTGTTTTTCCTATCTGCAGAATAAACAGATTTATACTCAACATATTACAGGTGCACATGAACTCAGCTTCAAGTCACAAACCAATGTCCCACCAAAGGCAAAGACGAAGTTGCTCTCACAGTAGCTGTTCCATAATTCTCTGTTGCAAGGATAAATGTGCCTTCTTCACAAGCTTTGGGACAAGAAGAGAGGCCAGTAAGGGTGAGAGCGTGGTGGGAGTGTGTTACAGACCACCCAGCCAGGGTAAGAAAGTGGATGAAAGCTTCTCCCCCTTTAAGCAACTCCAGGAAGTCTCTGTATCAGACTCATTCTGAGTGACTCAAACGAAGAGGTCACTGGTAACATCAACTGGGCCATAGTGGCAATGAAATAGTAGAGTTGAAGATCCTGAGGGGAGTGATGAAAAAGAGTAGTAGATCCTAGACTTCAGCTTACTCAGGGAACGACTACATAGGATCCCACGAAAGGTAGCTCTGATGGGTAAAAGAGCTCAGGAAAGCTGGCAGGTCTTTAATGAGAGCATTGTCCAAGCACAGGAATGGGCCATCCTCATACTCGGGAAGACAAGCAGGCATACTAGGAGATAGGTCTGGCTGAACTGGGAACCCATGATGGCACTCCAACACAAAGAGGCAGCATATAGGAGCTGGCAACAGGTACAGCCTACAGAGCAGCAATTTAGAAACCTTCCCCAGGTGTGTCAGGATGGTGTAAGGAAAGCCAGAACTCGGCTGCAGCTGAGACTTGCCAAGGACATCCACAGCTTCTGCTGTTACACTGGTAGTAAAAAGCTGAACATGGGAAATGTAGGCCTGTTGCTGAGTGGAGTGGGTCATACATCCTAATACCCCTGTCTTTTGTCTGTCTTCACCAAAAACGTCTTACAGGCCTTTGAAATATGTAAAAGGGTTCAAGAGGAGAGCTGCCAGCAGTGGATGAGGATTAAGCTAGGGATTACTCAAAAGAGCCAGGCCCCTACAAGTCCTTGAGACCCGACAGGCTGCATCTGAGGGTGCCCAGAGAGCTGGCCAACATCCTTGCAAGGTGGAGGTCCCCAGTGACTGAAAGAAAGCAAATGTTGCACCCATCTTCAAAGAGGCCAACAGAATGATCCAGGGGACTGCAGGTTCAGACATCTTTACCTCTGCCCCTGGGAAAATCATGCGATCAGGTATCGTGGAACGTATTTCTGGGCACGTGGGAGAGAAGAAAGGACTTGGAGACAGCATGAATTTACCAAGGGTAAGCCACGCCTGACCAACCCAACTGCCTTCTATAAAGTGATGTGATTTTTGTATGAGGATGTCATATGCCCAAATTTTAGTAAGTCTTTTTACACTGCCTGCGTTATTCTTGTATCCAGAGTATGACATTACAGCCTGGATAGGTGCACAACTAGGGAAATAAAAACTGGTTGGATAATTGGGCTCAGAGGGTGGTAGTTAGCGGGTCACACTCTACCTGCATGGCAGTTACAAGAACACTGTAAGGGTCAGTCCTGGGGTGTGTCCAGTTTAACATCTTTATGAGTGATCTGGAGGCAGGGAGGAGGTACATTCCTGCCAAACATGCATATGGCAGCAAACTGGGGGGAACAGTTGACATGCTCAAAAGGCAGGGCTGCCATTTAGAGGGACTTGGGAGAACTGGAAGAAAGGGCTGACAGCAACCTTAAAAATTTCAGCAAGGGCAAGTACAAGTCTTGCTCAAGGGAAGGAAGAGCCCCTGACAACCACAGTGGCCAGGGACTGACTGGGAAAAGACCACCTCTCTAACCCTTTTTTAAGCAGGGGAATGGACAACTGCCCAGTTCCCTTTCAAACCAAATTATCCTGACCTGACAATCTAATAATTGTGAGTGTAGGATACAGATATGGGGAGGATCACCGAATCTGTCTCTCAGTAATTCTTTTGTGCCACAGCTTCAATCTGAAAGAATTACACCTTTTTATGCTGGGGGAGAGAGGCAGCAGCCCAGCCAGGGAGCAGGGATCTCTGCTACCGCCTCATGCCCGTGTCTCCTTGACTTCATCAAGCCACTTCTCAGGCAAGGAGAGCAAGGGTTTGTCTACACTGGGAAGTGGTTACACAGCAAGCTGGTTACTGTAGGCAGAGAACTGAAACAAAAACCAAGGTCTACACCTGCAAAGGAGAATTCGACTTTGCATTTTTTCCACCTGAAGAAAACACACTATTATTAAAAACCTACTGACATCAAAGCAGCTGAAAAGGACGCCGGCCTTGCAACAACAACTGCAGCCAGCTCCCTAGACGAGGCTGCAGCACCTTCTCGCCGGCAGAGAAACCCGCGCGTTCCGGCACAGCCGGCTTCGCTCCGGGAAGCGAGCGGTAGCGCGGGGCGGCGGGGCCCCCGCCCTCCCCACGGCCGCCGCCTTGTGCGGGA